ACAATACTACAGCGAGAATAAAAGTTACGCCTTCTTTCTTTGCTTTAACATTTGGGTGGTGTTATGCAAATCTTCCCACATCGTGAGGTAGATATGTGGGGGCGTGTTAGAACAAGCCGTTTTAGGAGGGTGTGGTTGACTCTTAACTTTTATAAAGAATATCTCTTTGGATTTGAGACTTTAATCTTTGCAACTTTACAGATCTTCTTTATGCACCAAGAGATTGTAACACTCCAAAGAGAAAGGAAAAATTGAAATCGCATCATATGACCCCTTTAAAACAAGAGTATCGCGAGGAAAACACTTAGGAGACGATTAGAAAAACATGTTAACAGTTAAAAACAGCATTTTGTTCATATAAGGCAAAATCAGGTCCTCTCACAGTGAAGTGTTCAGCAGGTTTCTGCAGCAGCTCTAGGGTCACATATTCACTGACCACCGTTGAAGCGTACATTACAGCCATAACAAATCTTCAATTTGAATAAATAACATAAGCAAAACATATGGAAAGTCACATGACAGTCCACAAGAACACCAAAATATGGGTTATATACCTATCTCGAGACTGCTGTCCTTCTGCAAGAAAAATCACAGGCAAATATTAAAAAACCAAGAATGATACCAAAACACCAATCATGACATCTTGAGATGTCTGGATGATACAAAATGCTAGCAAAACGAAATATCATGGAAGCCATTTTGTAAACGCAAACTTTAGGCCTTCCAGTGTACAGTGAGCAACGCTCGCTTAAACCCTTGATACACAATCTGGGGGAGTAGTGCTCCTTACATAAATATGATTAAATAATATATATTTATATCTATAATTAAAAAAATAATTATAATAAATACAATCTAAACAAATATGTCGATTTCACACACATCATCACACAGATGGATATTTCTTCAAAGACATGGCATAGTTATGTAAACATTAAAAAAATAGATGAAATTTGGCAATGTAAATACGAATATACTGATAAACATAGGATGATCCATGAAATCAAAAGGATAAACAACCAAAAAGGAATAAATAGAAACCGCGCATTGGCGACTAGCCAAAACATGAATACATGAAGAGAGTGGATGATGGATGGTATTGCGCATTGGAAACTATCCAGTGTGGATACAGCACTTCCACCCCCCCAAACCCTGGCCGCCGCCTCCACCGGCCCCTGGCCACGAGCGGTTTGGCAGCATGCGGTTACGTGGGTGGTTGGGGGGACGTGGACGGCCACTGACCAGATGGTGAACAGAGACGCCATGCAGAGGAATGTCTGGCTTCGAAGTGCATTCACAGCTTCACAGTCGATCCATGCGGAACGTGTCCTCCGTGGCCGGGTCGGCGAGAACCATATCCGGGTCGTTGAGCATGTGCAGTCCGTCCAGTGTCAAGGGGTCAATCTTCAACTCATCCAACGGGAACTGAGAGTCCGCGTCAAAGCTGACGTCATCAACGCTGGCCAACGAGCTGGTGAGGTCTTTGGAGAGACTCGGCGGAGATTCTCCCGTTACTAATGTGAGACAAATCAAACTGTCAGCTGAAATGCTTATTCCTGGGAACCAGTGTTGGGAAGGTTACTTTGCAAATGTAATAGGTTACGGATTACAAGTTACCTTATTTAAAATGTAATAAGTATTGTAACTATTTCGATTACTTTATTAAAGTAATGTAACTGTAAAAAAGTAATGTAATGCGTTGTGATACTCTCTCCACAATGGCGGCGCACCGCTGCAGATGAAATGAGAAGAGTTGTTGAATAAAGTTGTTATTTTAGTTTTCTTTGCGCACAAAGTATTCTCGTAGCTTTGTAAACTTACGGTTGAACCGCTGACGTCACATGGACTATTTTACAGATGTCCTTGCAACGTTTCTGTGCGTTGATCGTGGTAGTTGTGTTGCTGTCTATGGAGGGTCTGAGAGCTCTTGGATTTCATCAAATATATCTTAATTTATAAGATAAATGAAGGTCTTACGGGTTTGGAACAACATGAGGGTGAGTAATTAATGACAGAATTTTCATTTTTGGGTGAACTAACCCTTTAAGCAAAGTGATATCTAGTTATGATAGCTAGCTACTAGCAAGTGAAGTGTTGCTCGTTATCGAAGTGCAATTAGAATATAAGTAGTTACTGATAAACATTAATAAAGCTGGCTACATAAAAATACCATTATTATATGTAAGCAATTAGGTACTCGAGGCCGTGCTGTAACGTGAATAAATCACGGCTGAAGGGCGTTGTTAGGCACGACGCGAAGCGGAGTGTTTTTGGGGCAACATGTAATGAAAAAAGAAGTGTAATAATGGGAGTAACAATTCACAAGATGTTCATAATAATATATAACATTTCATAGGAATACTGAAATATATTTTCTTTCCTTATTCATTTGTTGTGTCTCCCAAAATGCGTAATAAACATGCTTTTTGTCCCGGTGTCCTCATATGAGGACATGTATGAAATCAATGTCCTGTTTCGTAACAGAAAGTCATATTTTGATTTGAAACCCCATAACATGTTCCCGAGTTGTTGATTTATGACACACAGTTTAAAAATTAGATTTAAATGATAATTACAAAATACTATCATATTTCCATAAGAGTGTCACTAAATTAAAATCAGACATTTTTGAAGACCAAGGAGAGGGATTGGTCATAGTGAAACATCCAAGCATTTAGTATCTCTGAAAAGCCCTGAATGTGCTCTGTACAGGACATCCAGACTTAAAACTGTGGCATGTATAGTCTCAGAGAAATTCACTAAAATATAATGTCCTCATATGAGGATGCAGGCTAAACAAACTAGAAATTTAAGTGAAATCCTGTTGGAATAATTAACAAGTATGCTTATTGTGTGGGGGTGCTAAAGGACCTGGATAAAGGATAGACCCCAAAAAGGTTGAGAGGCACAGGTATAGATATTAAAGACCCTCAGTGCAATTATAAATGTACCTCTCTGACATCTCTCGGTAAGACATTTGCATAGAGAAGTTGATGTTGAAGCAAAAGACACACAATACCTGTGAGAATGATGTTGGGGATGTTGCCATGGCTACTGTAACCGAGCTGCTGCGCGTCCTGCTGACCGCCGTGGCTCCCGGTTAGACCCATCATGGCTGCTTGTGTGTAATTCAGCGTTGAACAGTGACTAGAGCCGCCCGGATTCTCCATCATGTTCATGTTGAACTGTTCCAGCTTCTCCATCAGCATGAGAGAGTTTTAAAGTCATTTGAACAATAAATGAAATAAAAAATTGTAACATATTATACAATTGTAACATGTTATACAAACATACGTACATTCATACATACATATTTATTTATTCATTCATTCAGGCCATGAAACTGTATGTGCATTATTTCTTAAAAATACAGCAGAACAACTTGGTAAAACACATCTAATAGCAATTTTTAGTGATTTCTTTTATGTATTTATTATTATTATTAATATAATTTCATCAAATTATAAAAATAAAATCAATAAAGAAATATTACTATAATACTACTAAACTGTATATACATAATATGCACATGTACATAAAGCACATGTACCTGGTTTGAAAGGGCATTGGTCTGTCTGGATGGAAGTTGCTGATCATAAAATGAATCTCCAAAGATGCTTCCAACCACCTGAATATGCTGTAAAGACACGCATTATGAGCAAGACATCTGAAGAAAATTTGCCACATACTGAATACTACTACTGATCAAAAGTTTGGAATAGTTATAATTTTTCAATGTTTTTAAAATAAGTCTCTTGTGCTAACCAAGGCTGAATTTATTTAATCCAAAATACAGTAAAAACATCAATATTGTGAAATATTATTACAATTTAATTTTACAATTTTCTATTTGAATGTATTTTAAAATATAATGTATTCCTGTGATGCAAAGCTGAATTTTCAGCATCATTACTCCAGTCTTCAGTGTCACATGATCTTCAGAAATCATTCTAATATGATGATTTGCTGCTCATTTCTCATTATTATCAATGTTGAAAACAGCTGCACGGCTTAATATTTTGTAGAAACCATGATGCACTATTCAAAAGTTTAGTCTAAGATATTTAGATTTTTTCTAAAGATTTTTGAAAAATTAATACTTTTATTCAGCAAGGACACATTTAATTGATCAAAATAAATCATTTATATTGTTAAAATGATGTCTATTTAAAATTAATGCTGTTCTTTTTAACTTTGTATTCATCAAACAATCCTTTATCATGATTTCCACAAAAATTTTAGAAATATATTTCAGCAAAGAAAATAATAAGATATGTTTCTTGAGCAGCAAATCAGCAAATTAGAATAATTTCTGAAGATCATGTGACACTGAGGATTGGAGTAATGATGCTTTGCATCACAAAAATTTTACATATTTTTAAGCAGATATCAGTTCTTTTTTTAATCAATTAAAGTCTTGGTGAGCATAAGAGAAAATCTTTTTTTCCAAACATTTGTCCGGTAGTGTATGAAAGACTACAAAGTGAGTGTACTGAAATAGGCGGCAATGCAGAGAGAAGTACACACCGAGATGCCAATAAATTACAAAAAATCATCAAATGAAGAATGGAACCATAGAAGTGTTATGCTTACTTGTGGTGAGCCGCCGGGTGAGAAGCCCTGATTGGACACTGGAGATGAGGGTGACTGATTGGCTGAAGAGCCGGTCTGACTGCGGTACTGTTGGGAGAAAGAGATACATATCTGAATGAACCCTATCAACCTAAAGCAAACTGTGTACAGCAGAAGAAAAACATACCGAGCTGGCAGTTCCGCTTGTGGCTGTCTGTGATTGGCTGGTGGTGTTGGGGGTGGAGCTTACGGTGAGAGGCGGGAGGCGTATGAGACGAATGTTCTGAGGGAGGCTGTGTGGCTGTTTCTGCAGGTCGTTCAGTAAACTCAGCAGTGAGTACTGAGACAACTGCTGCTCCAGAGACAGGCTGTCCATCGTCATCGGCTATGACAACAACAGACCGTCAACAAATCAGAATATTCATACTCATATATTTACACTAATTCTTTGTCAATGATCCAGGGTTATTATAGTTCACTAAAACCGAAACTAAAAATAAAACATCTTCGTTATTTGAAATAAAATAAGCATTAACTGAAATAAGAAATTAAAAGACCTTTGTTGCCAAGGAAACATTTCTCAATTTCATTTAGTTTAACTTGAAACACTAAAATAACTAAAACTAAAATTTTAATAAAAATGAATAAAAACTACTTAGACACATAAAAAACTAACTAAAAATGACAAAAACACACAACAAACTTACAAAAACTTTCAAATGAAAACAGAAAATGTTCAGAAAAAAATATACAAATTATTAATGGAAAATAATAATAGAAAAATCAATCAAATGAATGAAAATGCAATTATAAATCACTTCACAATAGGCAATTAAAAAAAACTGCTTTCAAATGATAATTTTAGATTTTGTAATCTCAACTGCTTGTCATTTTTTCGAAAAAAAAAAAAAAAAAAAATGGATGCACCCATACTAAATTTCTCTGCCAATTATTCAGAATTGAAATCTACAGGTACCAATAGTTTGGTTTGCTAAAGGAAAACAATCTCTTCCAACTAATGCTGTAAGCTATACAGGGAAGCCTCTCATTTGGTACACTGCTATAATATTAGAGGTTAAAATTAACAACAGAGCCCAAACTACTACTGGTATTTTTTTTCAGATATAATAATCACACTCAAATGAAAACTGAAATGTTTGTACAATTCAATTAGGTATTAGTACAGGTTTTCTTTACTTGTCTTCATGACAGATTTATTCAAACATACATATATAATTATCAGTAATTAGGCTCCTCTTTAGTGTTTTTTTATTGCTTACTAACCAACTGTGAACTGATGTTCATTCATAGTTTATTTTGCACTATACCTTATAAGTGGAAAAGATTTGTGCTCCGCGCTGCTGCTTGAACTGAGGTTCTACAGCGTTCTGGACAGAATAGAATCTGCTCTGATCGTCTTCAGTTTTTAAACAATGGCTGATAGTGCAGATAATTGCTTTTATAAGCCATACTGATTATTGGCCAATACACTGGTGCATCCCTCATTTAAATATTAGAATCAGACTTTCTTGGGACCTCATAGATTGCTAGAAATGAAATGATGGTCCTTTAATCACACATATTCTGAATTCAAACACAAGCCGTGCTGTTTGGGCAGGCTGGAGTCTGGCTTACCTGTGCGATGGGTATCTGGGGGGAGACGGCAGGTGGCAGCGTGGGAGTGGGTGGCTGTGGGCTGATATTGGGCGAGGGGGCGGGGCCAGTGTGCTGGGCGGGAGGGGAGGAAGGGATGTGACTGGCAGCACTGATGCCCAGGTGTGTCAGGTTGGTGGTCAGGATGTTCGTACTGCTGGAGCTGGATGTAGGGAAGGTAATGGGGTCATCTGGATCCAGCGGGGTGGGGAGAGGAGGAGGGAACTGGATGTTTGTCAGATCAGGTAAGGAGCCGCCGGTGCTGTGAGCAGCTGGCATCAAAGAGCTATTAATTTCTTGATCAGGAGATGGAAATATGCTGGAAATATCAAACAGAATATGCAGTGAGATATGATGCAACACATCTAAGAGAGACGCATGTAAATTAGTAAATCTCAGTAATATATGTATATATATATATATTGCCTAAAAGAAAATGATATATATTTTACATTTATCATTAAGAGGTTAAGGTTAAAGTTAGCTTAATATAACATAGTTGTTTTGAAATTAATATATATAACAATAAAACACAATAATGTCCCACCCAAATATAGCTAAATTGAAATACAATAATATGATAATATTTGAACAATATTAAAAAAAAACATTTTTTAACATACAATGTATCTTTTTTTTAATTTAAATCAGAATATCATTTCAATTCAAAAATTGTATTTAAAGGGTTCCTATTATGCTTTTTCACTTTTTTAAATTTTAGTCAGTGTGTAGCGTGTATGTTTGGGCATAAAAAAGATCTAGAAAGTTACAAATCTCAAAGTCCACTCCAAAGGGAGATATTTCGTTTTTAAAAAATCCCTTTTCAAGAACTACAACGAACGGCTCGTTTGGACTACAGCGTTGGTTTCCGGGCTTTGTGATGTCACAAAGCAGCTCATTAGAATATCATTAAAAATAATTCCCGCCTACAGAAAATCGAATGGTTGGGGGGTGGTGAGGGGCGAGGTTGTGGTTAGAACGCTTGGTTGAGTGAATGCATCAGACGAGACGACGAAGGACCCCTTTAAATAAGCTTTAAGGCAGTATAAAATCTATACACTTTCAAAACTAAAATTATTTAGCATTTTATTTTATATTTAAGTAATAGGAATTTGTGAGGAATTAATCTCACAATGCAAAAAAAAAGTCATTAAAACTTAATTTCTATATTCACTTTCTATATTCTGTCATAATACCAGCCATAAACATTTTAGTAGCAATTTATAATAAAGTCCCATTAGTTAATGTTGGTAAATGCATTAAATAACAATGAGCAATGCATTTGTTACACTATTTAATAATCTTTGTTAATGTTAGTAAAAATACAACTGTACATTGTTAGTTCATGTTAACTCAGTTCCATTAAATAATATCAACAGATGCAGCTTTTGATTTTTATAATGTATTAGTAAATGTTGAAAAGTCAATGTTTGAAAAGTAACTTTTGATTGTTAATTCATGTTCACTAATGTGACTAAAATAATAACTAATATTAACAAATGGAGCCTCATTGTAACGTTTTCCGAAACATTTTTTCCTCTCTGCGAAACTGCATTAAACCTTTTTATTTTTTCATTATGGGTGCTTAATGTGAGGAATAATCCAAAAGAAAAAATTTTGCAGACAAGTTGTGATAGATGTTTTCTTTAGGAGGAGATTTGTACAGTATGTCTGAATCTGTCATACCACTTATATCAGCAAGTCAAGAGTTTCATTCATACAGTTCAAATAAAGCCATGTAATGTTGCAGTTCCACTATATTGTACCATTTAATTTTCCTTCAGACCATTTTTACCTCAATTTGGCAATGGTGAGTGTCAATTTAGGATCTAAAGTTGCAGCCACACTTCATTGTCTCTACTCATGCTAATTCAAAGGTTATTTAAGTGTTGCATGATTTCCAGCACATGGGAAAAAAGTTTTAGTCATGATAAACTCACTTAATCCCAGGAACGTCACAGGACTCTGTATGCAGAGATGCTTTGGGCTCGTCTTGCTCCATCTCTGATTCAGTGTCCTCTGTATCTGGAGGGGTGAGCAACAGCACTGCAGAAAGAGAGGGAGATATGGATGAACTCCTACCAGGTCATTGTACATGAGAAAAAACATATCACAAATACATGTAGGTCAATGACAGTGGAAAGGGTCCACAATAAAAATAATATTTTAAAAATCTAATTAAAACACATGCCATGTTCTCTTTATATCCATGTTGGTTTTGTCATATGATGTAACCACTAAGTAAAAAATAATAACTTATTTTCCTTACACCATAATTTCAATATTAATTCATAGAGTACATATCCTTATGTTTTGAGGAGTCACCAATATGACATTTTACAACATAAAAATGTCAAATTATCTGATATTTTAAGAGACTTGTTGACCTTGACAGTCAGTGATGAGGATCTACAGGGGTCCTACAGGGTTCCTGCATGTTAGTTGAACCACATCATGACTTTTGGCAGACAAAAGTTTTTAAAATATTAATAAGCAGAGAAATACTTTTGTTAAAGGAACCATTCACCCCCAAAATTAAAATGTTTTAAAAGTGCATGATCTGTGCATATATCTCTCCTGATTCAGGTGAGACTACTTTTTCACTGGAGAAAGCAATATTGTGGATAGGGGATTTGTATTTTAGTCTGAAATTATTTGGTTAAAAACGTATTGATAGATTTGCTTCTTACAAACATGCAGCTTTTTGCTTCACAAGCAAATTAATTTAATTGATGAACTGGAGTGTTGAGGGTTACTTGTGGATTATTGTGATGTTTTTATCAGCTGTTTGGACTCTCATTCTGACGGCACCCATTCACTGCAAAGGATCCATTGGTGAGCCAGTGGTGTAATGCTACATTTCTCAAAAACTGTTTTAATGAAGAAACAAACTCATCTACACCTTAAAGGCCTGAAGATGTATTTGAAATTAAAATGAATTTTAATTTCATGCAGCATAGCAACAGCTAACAAAAATGGAAAAAAACCTCCCAAATTCTTACATGTTTTTACTCCTTTCGACTGCAGTTCCTGAGATCCACCAACAAAAGTGTCCTGTGGAGCTGGATTCACAGCGCTCTGGTGTAGAGCTGAGTCAGAGTTGGTTCTGCAGCAGACCAGCAGAGGTGGGAACACATAAAAACACTATGATTTATGACCTTTGAGCATGTTTTGTTGATTAGGTTATGAGAAAAGCTGTTTTACCTTCTCCAACTTGTGTCGGGAGGTGGTGACAGATATACTGAGCCATAGGGACAGCTGTCGATGTAATTAGGGTTAAGGACAATGTCTCACACACGCACATGGAAATACATATCAGTTGAGTAAAACTTGGCAGTGTTTAATAAAGCTGAAGGATATCTGACGTCCATGCTTGTCCACAGAGAGAGGTCTACGATGCGGAGAAGCGATGCGATTCCTGTCACGATACACGCGGTCCACCAGGCCGTGATGTCGGGACGTCCGACTGGTGTCTAAAACCGTCATCTGTAAAAGAATCGGATTTGTTTAAGTGATCTTCAAATGTGTTTTCACAAGGCATCAGGACTTTTGCTGCAGTGTTGGCCAAATAAAAGCACAAAACCGGCTCCACGCAGAAGATGGACTAGCAGTATGAAAGCTCAGAGTAGGCCTGGGCGATAAAACGGTATCGATATTTATCGACGGTACACCCTCTTCGATAACGATAGAAAAAATGTTCGATATAGCGCACGATATAGGCACGTGCTATGAGTGACGCAGACCACACACACAAACACGAACACATGCTGAATTGAGTGCTGTGCCTGCCTGTGATGAGGAGATTGTGAATAAAAAAAAAATAATATTAGTCGAATTTAAAATAAACATTTGCATTTGAATGCAAAAATAGTACAATCAAATGTTAGGTGTGCGTCTGGGTAGCGTCATCAGTGGAGCGCGAGATGCAGTGATGATGATGTAAGTGACATTGTTGCATTTTAATGTTTTATAAGGCTATATCGCCCAGCCCTAGCTCAGAGCGATGAGAACCATCCCGTACATCCTTATGCTAATGTGTCATAAATGAAAAACAATGATAAAGAAGGAAATGACGCATGTTTCCATCAACTTTGTTACATGTAACTAATTCATAAAAAAATGTGAATCTTTGGTTAATACTTCCGGGCCATTCCTACTACACAGCGTAAAAAGAATTTGGACCTTTAATCCACACTTAAAGATGTCTGGATGTTTTTGGATTGAATAACAGAATATCAAAGCAAGCATCAATTTCTTAAACAAAACATTTCACAAAAATGTTTTTAGAACTAAGAAAAGTTCCAGAATGACTTCTTTGATATTTTGTATCTAATGCAATGGCACTGAGACATTTTTAAGTGCGGAAGTGTCAATTACATTTTGGGTCCTAATATTGGACTAATATGAGTGACCCTTATGAACTAACTTTTAAAATGATAAACTGGCAATTTCTTAAGAAACATTACAGATGTAAGTTCATAGTTTTTCTTTCTCTAATCGAAATGGTTTCGAACAAACCATGCCTTTGGCTTTGATAATATCGCTAATACAATAGTTTTCTGTCCTTAACATAATTTTCCATCCAGTTAGACTTTTGTAACATCCCTTTAATTAACAAAAGTCTTAATGGCATCATCTTGCAAGAAGTGACAACATTTTGGTGGCGAAACAACAGCGCAGACTAAAACTCTTAGCCCCACTCTAAAAGCTGTTTGTTTCCAATTACAGAACTCGGATGACAATATAAAGAATAAAAACATAAAACACACCCTCTCATAAGCTAACTCTCGATATCTCACTGAGTGATGAATAACTTTAGCTTTTATGTCCACTCTGTTAGGCTCAATATGGGTAATTTTCTTGCCAATTGTGTATATAGTTATAATAACTAGTTATAATTTAGAGTTAAAGTGTCAATTCAATTCAATTTTCAATTTCAATAAATTCTTTTAAGTTACAAAGTTGAAAAGGTATTGTATAAAAAGTGTGGTCACATTGAAAATAGACCATTTTTTGCCTGCATGACCAACTTGAACATGAGCAAAATCTGCACGGAGAACTATTTCACCTATTGAAATGAATGGAATTTGCCAGGCAAAATTTCACAGAGCAATGGTAAACGTGACCGCACCTTATGAGTAGGGATGTAATGATTCACTCAAGTCACGATTTGATTCGATTCACGATTTTGATTTCACGATTTGATTCACGATTTTTTTTTAACAAAATGAGATTTAAGACAAATTATAAATGAAATGTGTTCTTTTATTATTGCTTGGACAAAATGCTGCATGATTCTTTGTGAAATTGAAATATAACACTATGGTTTTGATTGCTTATTGTCCTCATTTGTAAGTCGCTTTGGATAAAAGCATCTGCTAATCACTCTCTGCCAGCAGGCGGCGCTTAAACCCTTTCCTTGGTTTCCGCTGTAAACAAAGCAGCGCTGAACTTATAAACTTTAATATGCTTTATACAGAGGCAAGATGAAAGGAACAAAAATACCATCTAAACTTTTCCCCTCAGACATGCATTCATATAAACTCTTACCCCTAAATGAATCGCGATTTGTTTAGCATCTCAACCGATTTGAATCGTCACATATTTAAATCGATTTTCAACCGGCTCGCGGTTAATCGTTACATCCCTACTTATGAGGAATGACCCTTCGAATGCACTATGAGCGTTATCCAGATAGGATGCTTATGAAACTGTGATTAGATCATCTGAAGGGAAATTCATTCATAAAGTGACAGCATAGTGTGCACGACAGAATTTTCAAACTTATGAAGTTTCTAAGGTCTCACCTGAAAAGGGAGGTCAGTGTTGCTATTTCCAATCTGATTGACATTGGGCAGTGACCCTCCATAGCACTGAGCTCGATTCTGGCCTAGTTGCAAATACTGGGTCTTCTGTAACTGCAGCTGTGCAAAATAACAGTGCGTGAAAAGCAGCAGTGAATGACGTAATGAATGCATGAATGAAACGTAAAGCAGATACCGTCGAGTAAAACACTTTATCATGTGAAGAATGAGAAAAGCAGACCAGTGAGAGTTAATAAAAAGTAGCAAAACATGGGTATCGACTTATGTGACGCACACTAACGTATATAATACGTTCAACACCAAGGGACAAACTAATAGCTTTGTAGTAAAAAGGTGAAAACAGAGGCTGGAGCAAATTGCCCAAGCATTGTCCTCAAATTAATATTTGTAAGGGTTAGTTTATTTTTTCATTATTCTATATTTTATTATTGATTGGTTGATTTTTCCCCAGGAAAAAGATAGAGCTCACTTAACATATGTTGACCAATGTTTGTTGACACTGATTTGAGAAGACTTTTTTTCCTGTATGAAATACTCTTGAAAGTAAAATAGCACATTCAACAAAATGTGTATGTTAATAAATAACATAAACCAAATAATAAAGTAAAAGTAGAATACAAAAAAACAAACAAACAAACATTGTTTTGGACAAATTATAATGAATGCAACAATTTGCCCTGACCTGACATTGAAATTGATCCAGACTTATTTTTGTATCACTTATATACTATTATAGACTTTGTTAAAGGGGTCATATGATGCTTTTTTAAAGATCATTATTTTGTGTATTTGGTGTAACAGAATATGTTGACATGCTTATTAATTCGATTTTATTTTTAGATTTTCTGTGTTCACTTTCATTTTAATTAAAATAATTGTTGTTTTTATTATTTTTAAATGTCAAAATTCCATGTATAATTCAGTGTTACTCTTTTTTTTTGTAATTGTTTATTAAATTTACAAGCATTTTCTAAATGACAATTGTTTCTACACAATTTTTTTTCAGTGTTGGCACCTATATATATAAATATAGGCTATATATTTTACATGCTTTCAATGGATTTAGTTTTTGCATGTATTTGTTTTACCCAACAGCTTTCACAAAAACATCCTAGTTTGGACAGACTTTACCAAAATACAAAACCTTTAGATTTTACATTTAAAATAGTTACTAGAGTATACATCGTGTGACAACTTGCCCCGGTCAATGACATTTCGTCATTAGATAAGCAGCTTCTGATACACACAACGAGAACGAGAAATAAAAGAGCGAAAAGCAATCACAATGCATTCAAGGCCGGAGCAGGTCTCTGTGCAGATGTGCATGACATCTGTCCAGCATCTCTCTCCAGCAGCATCCTCAGCATCTCCCGTTACGCTCAACCACCGGGACATCATTACCGTCCTTCACCGATTTGTCACGGCTCTCAGGCGACAAGAGAGCTCTTAAATCAAACACAGTTTACATCCTACATAGCAGCTGCGCTATGCGCGCGTTTAGCCGCCGTTTCTGACACACGTACCCGCGCTGCTCGCGTGATGCTCAGGTCTTTCATGACCTCCTCAAACGCCGCCGTCTCCTCCGCCTGCTTCTGGTTGTGCAGGGCGATTTTCTCGCTGAATTTTCGCGGATTGTTTGAGGTCGCCATCTTCCGTTCTTCTCCAAAACACAGAGCGTTGCGTGAGACGCGTTGTGCGCTGCCGCGGCGTCATCACGGGAAGAGTTGTGGGCATTGGAGTCCACCTGATTGACACACACACACACACACACACACACACACACACACACACTCACCAGCTGAATGAAATGTCTTCATGTGTCATGTCTTGAGAGAAGGCACCTGCTATTTATGCTGCAAAAACTAGGCCTATTATGATAAGAGGCGCTTATGATGAGGCGACAAACGTAAAATAAAGACATGCTTGTTGGTTGTTTCTCCGCCAGAAGGAAACTGCTGTGTTAAAACTGAAAATTTTTAATTTATTTTGAGATTTAATGTTCTTTATTAAAATAAATATGCACTTATTATAGCTTCGTTTTTTCTTTATTGTCATAGGCTATTTCCAGGGGCGGCGCCAGAGAATTTTGAACGCAGGTGCTGAGGGGCTGCTAGATCGCAGGGGGAGCCGGGCAGTTAAAGGCACACAATATGTAAGATTTTTTTATTAAAATATCCCAAAACCACTAGAACAGTGTTATATATTTTGCTGACTTGTGTACTTACATTATCCTAAATGTTTCGAAGAATGTTTAAATCCAGAGAAATAAGCAATTTTAACTAGTGACACGGACCGTGGGTTAAGGCTAGAAGGGATACGTATAGTGCTACTGGGCATGCGCACATCAATACAGCGTAATTTTTGTCGCACTGCACAACAATAATTACTATTTTTTCATTATTGTAAGGGGTAGGTTTAGGGTTGGGGTAGGTGTAGACGTTAATAAAACACAATCTAATAGGTAGAAAATGAATTTCATTGTTCGTTTCCGGTCTGAGCTGTATCCCTTCTAGCCACAACCTGGACCGTAGCCTTGTCCAAATACCCACACTTGCGGTCTTTGCACTTGACCACTTGACTACTTATATGACGTATTTCCTGTATTTGGCCCAAGTGTTCAAGTGAGCATGAAGACCACAAGTGTGTGTCGAACTTTTCATTACCTGATGGGACACACTTGTAGTGTTGTAAAAATGCAAGTGTTTACATAGCTTTATTTTAATTTAAATTTTAAATACTTTGCATTTTAAAATCAACTTCTAAATGTCTGTTCAGTAGTCCCTATAGATGACAATTTAATTAAGTGATAAAAAGCAGTTGCAAATGTTGTACAAATTTAATAGACCGGTGACGACCTCACAGAGTAGCATTATAAAAGAACTCTCAAATGTATCTAGTATGATTAAACAGTGCTGCTTTTTTCCCCCCACGACCGGAAGGAGCGGAAGCGGTCGACTGTGTCATAATAAAAGCTCCGCTGCTTTCGAGCCGTGTGTCACGCTCGTTCAGCGGCCTCGTTTCGCTTCGACGGCTTTCAGCCTCACCCTGCTTCATTCTACTACATTAATAAATCATTAGCTCATCCATAAACATGATTTCTGCCCGAGTCCCGTCGGATTGCATCGGCTGTGGGGATGAAGACGACAACTCCCATGATTCCACACTCAGTCACGGCGTCATCAAACTACGCCTTTGTCTCTTTGTTTATTTTGAATACACGCCCTCTAGCGGCGAAAATTACATATTGTGCCTTTAATAGTATATGACCAAAACAGGTTATTATTATTCTACAGTACTAATAATAAAATGGCTATATAGGCGCATTTCAAGTGTTTATGAGGAGTGTGGGACTGGGAGTATTATCGTGCTTACTGTATGACATGGGGGCGCCCGCGCAGTCATTTATTTTTCCTGCGGAGAGAACTTAAAATAGCCTACACTGTAAAAAATTTCAAGCTGTTTCAACTAATTATTTAGTAACTAGTTCCACAGAAATTTTACGTTCAGACAATTTCTGTCTTCAAAGTGTTATCTGAATTGCTATTTTTTAGTTGGCTCAATCTTTACTGAACTAGTTTTATATTCCAATTGTAATTGGTCAAACATTTAGAAAACTACAGCAAGTTATGTCAATTAAAGTTTAACCATTTACTCCATGTGTTTTATATGTTACCTCAACTAAGATTTATTATTTGGGCATCATAAGAAATTGCTGGGGAACTACATAAACATTTTTATAGTTATTTATAAAATTATTAAAAGTGATTAACTGGTGTTTATCAATCACTAAAACCACACACATTACAACACATAATAGCCATTATTTAATAACAATCTCCATTTATAACATTTTTCATACAGACTAAACACAGGCTTGAAGAAAAAAAGTCACCTATACATCTTGGATGGCCTAAGGGTCAGTAAATAACCAGCAAATTTTCATTTATGGGTGAACTATCTCTTTAAAGCTCCAGTTGACAAACATTACATCTGTAATACAACTGCAAAATTCAACTTTGTTTAATGAACTAAGAAAAAACTAAACAAGCTAAACAAAATGTTATTAAACATTTACAAATATTACTACTGTTCACAATTACATCTTTAAAATGAGGCAGAAGTTAAAAAAAAAATAAAATACAGGTGTTACAGTATATAAAATCAAGTAAAGTCATCTTTATTTATATAGCGCTTTATACGGTACTGATTGTGTCAAAGCAGTTACATTAAGAACATTAACAAGTCATTTTTCCAGTTAAAGGGGTCCTATTATGCTTTTTCACTTTTTCAACTTTAGCTAGTCTGTAATGTTGCTGTTTGAGCATAAAAAAGATCTGCAAAGTTACAAAGCTCAAAGTCCACTTTAAAAGGAGATATTTTATTTAACAGAAATCACTTTTCAAAAACTACAACGAGCGACTTGTTTGGACTACAAGTTCATTGGTTGACATCATCCAGTTCAGTTCTCTTCCAATAATGTCTGTGCAATCAGCCAAGCATCCCCAAATAAGCAAGCCAAAGGCGACAGTGGCAAGGACCCAAAACTCCATCGGTGACAGAGATTGAGTAGAAAACCTTGGGAGAAACCAGGCACAGTCAGGGGGGGCAGTTCTCCTCTGGCCAGACAAAACCAGCATGGCGTGGTTTAATTCCAGGCTGCAGCAAAGGTCAGATTGTGCAGAGGACTTGTCTGGTTCTCATGGTTTGGTCCCGATGACCAATGAGGTCTTCGGAGGGGATCTGTCTCTGGAGCTCATCTAGCTGACATTCAGGGCTGTAGAGGTCGTCTCTAGGAACGACTGTTATCTCATTAAGACCACGTTAATCAATACAGGGACAAAGACCTCCATCTTTCTTCTTTACAAAGAAGAATCCGGCTGAAGCTGGGGAGGTTGATGGCCAAATGAATCCCTGGGCAAGTTCCTCATCAATATATTGCTTCATGGCCTCGGATTCAGGTTGTGATAGGGGAAATATGCAGCCCTTGGGGGGTGTAGTACCTGGCAGTAGTTAAATAGCGCAGTCAAAGGGTCTATGAGGGGGTAATTCGGATGACTTGGCCTTGCTGAAAGCTTCACTCAAATCTGAATATTCAATGAGTAGATCAGAAACATTATTTTGAATAAGAATGAAAAAACAGACTAATATTAGCGTAGATGCCACTGAGAACAATAAAGCACATTATAATTGTAGTAAAAACTCTAAACATTTACACATATTACCTGGAATGAAAACAATAAACTCTTAGGCTGCGTCTGAAAGCCTAGGCAGCTGACTTGCTGCCTTGCTGCCTCACTGCCTTATGAGGCAATGACTTTGCAGGCAGTGTTTTTGCACAAAGGCACCTCATTAAACTAATTTCGGACAGGCTTCTGAGGCAGCGTAACGATTTAATGATCTACAACAAAATAGAACGAGTTTTGGTGATAACTAATCAAATATTTAATTACTATAATACTAATATCCCGCTAGAAATAACATCAAAAGTGCAAAACGTTAGTCAGAAATATACATTTACACACAAACTAACCACCAAACACAATTTTTATCTTTATCTTTTTATCTTATCAAACGCCATCTTTATTTTTTAGCTCAACCGTCACAGAATGGAACGCACAGGATTGTGGGATATCAAAGGCAGCAAAGGATACATCTATGCTGCCTTCAAAATGCGATCAGAAGAAGGTACCTCCGGAGACAGGAAGTAAAGCAGAATTTGGATTTGGACGTGCCTTGATGCCTTCCTGCCTTGGAATGCTGCTTCCGAAGGCAACATTTTAGAGCTTTCGGACGCAGCCCTAGTCTTGAAAGTACACACAGTATGTAGTTGCAGTGGAGCGGTCTGGTCACGTGCCAGTGTTTGGTGCCTTGGAAGAACTGACTGGGTTGCATCTGATATCTTGCAATGATGACAAAGCACCAAACCTTTGGCCACACCCTGAAAGAAAAGTACATTTTAAGTTCAAAAAATGAAATGATGCCTCTTAAATCATTTACAATGTATCAATATCAGTTAATTAAATTTGTGATGAAACAGAAGTTGCAGCCATTTTTTTTGGCACAAATCCATTCCACAATCCATTGCACAACAGGAAGCAATGATGCTGACTGGATTTGTAATAGAACATGTACATTTCATATTATAGGGCTACCTTCCCAGATAGCACACGTACATCTGCAAGATGTCTGTTAAAGATCTCTTGATCTGGAAAGCATCTGCGGTGAACAAACATCTGAAAGACGTCTTTAAGATGTCAGTTTTACATACATTCTAAATCATAAACATCTTAAAGACATCTAATAAGTACGTCTATTTGACATCTGATTGGAAACGTCCAATAGACGTATTGCAGATGAGCAAACACTCTAAAAAATACGTCAAATAGACATCTGCAAGATGTATGTGTGCTATCGGGGTTAAATAGCATAAAAATAATATCAAAATATAACGGTCCTGCCCAGGGGCATCATGCACTCATGATTTTTGAGGGGGCACGTATCTGGGACAGTTGAAATTTAGCTCAGGAGCATTCAAATTGCTTGTAGATGTTACTACACTTCAAGTGAAGTTAACCTGTGGCAAATTCAATTGAATGGGCATGATTTGGAAAGGCACACACATCTTAATAAAAGGTCTAACAGCTGATAATGCATATCAGAGCCTCAGAGTAGAAGATAAGCTAATGCACCAAAATATT